TGTTGAAGAACAAAGATGTCAGCTTGAGGACTAAGGTATAGCTAACCCAAAACATGATATTTTCAATAACCTCTTATGCATGCGAAAGCTGGACAGTGAATAGGGAAGACTGTAGAATTGATGCTTTTGAGTTATGGTGTTGGAGGAGAATATTGAAAGTGCCACGGGCTGCCAAAAGAACCAACAGAACTGTGTTGGAAGAAGAAGTATAGCCAGAGTGCTCCTTGGAGGCCAGGATGGCCAGACTTCGCCTCTCATACTTCGGACATAGTGTCAGGAGGGACCAGTTGCTCGAGAAGGATATCATGTTTGGTAAGGTGGAGGGTCAGAGAAAAAGAGGAAGACCCCTAGTGAGATGGATTGACAAAGTGGCATCATCGATGGACTCAAACGTGGCAATGATAGTGAGGTTGGCCCAGGATTGGGCAGTGTTTTGTTCTGCTGTGCATAAGGTTGCTATGAGTCGGTACCAACTCGATGGCACCTAACAACAACAACAATAAACCCATAACTCTGAGTATGGTGTCTGAGCTCTATGTGTCATTACAATGTATTATCGAACCCAGCTGAATAGAGAGGGTTGTGGGAGGAATGTTCAGTGCCATGTATTGTTGCAGTGTGTCCCTAGTTGTTGTTGTTGTTAAGTGTAGTCAATTTGCTTCCGACTCATAGCAAATCCTAAAGTATAGGGTTTCTAAGGAGCACCTGGCGAGCTTGAACCGCTGACCTTGAAGTTCAAACTGACTTTGCAGTCCAGCGCATTAACCCACAGCGCCACACCAGGACGCCGTGTCCTCAGTAGGTATTATTAAATAGCAATAATTGTGTTTTATTGAATATCTGTGCTTATGCTTTCAATTTTTTCTTTCAAGTATTCGAGTCCTTAGATAACTTTAAAAGGTACACCAAAACTCAAGATTTTTTTGTTGATCTTTTTCCTTTACATTCTGAAATGTTAATGAAACAGATACTGGCTACTAAACCCCACAAATTATAAGAACAAAGGAGCAAAGTTGAAATAAGAAATTCTTGGGATAATGAGATAATACTTCTGACTCATAAGAGTGACTATAATAAAATGACAAATATTAACAAGTGTTGATGAAGCTGTGGAGCAATTGGAGCCTTCACACATGGCTGGTGGGAATGATACATAGTAAGCCACTTTGGAAAACAGTTTGCCAGCTCCTCCAAAGGTTCAACAGAGTTATCAAATGATGGAGCAATTTCACTCCTAAGGGTCTGCCCAACAGAGATGAAATCATGTGTCCATACAAACCTTATACATGAATGCTCACAACATTTTGAAATGTAATAACCCAAAAGATGAAACAACCCCGAGTGTTCAGCAACTGATGAATGAAAACATAAAATACATATCCATGCAATGGGATGTTATTCAATAATAAAAGTAAATGAAGTTCTCACACAGGATGAACCTTGAAAACATGTGGCACTGTAGGATCAGCACTGGACTTCGAACCACAGGTCAGCAGCTCAAACCAACCAGCTGTTCCTTAGAAATCATATACAGGGTCACTATGAGTCAGAAGCGACTCGAAGGCAGGTAATAACAACATGTGAAAGAAACCAGTCATAAAAAAACATACATTGTATGATTCCATTTATATGAAATGTCCCAAATAGGCAAATCTATAGACACAGGAAGCAGATTAGTGGTTTTCTAGGTCTATGTCTGAATGTGTTGAATAGGTTTGTTGTGGGGAGCGAAGGAGAATAAGAGTAATTGCTAATGAGTTTGAGGTTTCCTTTGGGATGGGGGTGATGAAAATTACTTTAAATTGAGTGTGGTGATGGCTGCAAAACTCTAAATATACTACAGACCCCTGAATTGTAAGCTTTGTTATTGTTGTTAGGTGTCATGGAGTTGGTACCGACCCTATCCATAATAGAACAAAACGCTACCTAGTCCTGTGCAACCTCACAATCATTGCTACATTTGAGCCCATCACAGCAGCTACTATGCCAATCCATCACGGTGGGGGTCTTCCTCTTTTTCTCTGACCCTTTATCTTAACCTAACATGGCGTCCTTCTCCAGGGACTGGTCCCTCCTGACAATATGTCCAAAGTATGAAGTCTGATCATCCTGACTTAAGGAACACTCTAGCTGTACTTCTTCCAACACAGACTGGTTTGTTCATTTGGCAGTCCATGGTACTGTCAAAATTCTCCTCCAACACCATAACTCAAATGCATCAATTCTTCTATAGTCTTCCTTACTCAATGTCCAACTTGCACATGCATATGAGGTTATTGAAAATACCATTGCTTGGGTCAGGTGCACCTTATTCCTTAAACTAACATCTTTTCTCTTGAACACTTTAAGGAGGTCTTGTGTAGCAGATTTGCCTAATGCAATACGCCATTTAATTTCTTGACTGCTGCTTTCATGATGTTGATGGTTGATCAGAACAAAATGAAGTCTTCGTATGATTTACACAGATACATTTATGTATGTGAATTGTATCTTAACAAAGCTGATTAAAACAAGAAATTATTAGGAATAAAAATTTTGAATCACCCCACCCTTGATGTTGATGTTTATTTATATCTTTCAGTTCTGATCTTCCCTTTATCATGAGCTCCTCAACTGCAAAGCTGAAGAGTGACAAGGACTACAATGCCTCTCTCCTTTCTCTGAAAGGGGCTGCAAGTGCAGTGTGCATCCAACTCAGCCTTCCTTCCTTTCCCAGAACCCTTAGTGGTCATTCCCTGCTTCTGCAGTATTAGCCTGGGTCCCTTAGGTTCTATAAATTACACTCTCCTCTCTACCCTCTCACTTTAAAGTGATCTAAGATACTTTGTATAAAGGATGAGGTAGCACATAAAAATAACTAGTATTGTACCAATTTATCTCATCTGGCGGTTTGGGGGATACATGCTTGTAAAGTTCTAGCAAATGTGAGAAGCCACAGAAAACTGCCTCTTTTCCAAATGGAGGAGCTAGATATTTTATTTTATGCTATTCATCAGTAAGGTAGATACAATGATATTTGACTCTGTTTTTTTTGCCTGAGTAGCACCCACCCAGTCTGATGGAACAGCCATTCTACTGAGTGCATGGGACAGCTTTAGAAAAGGCAGGCTCCCTGGGGTCACATGTCCTGCTGAGGCAGGACAGTTACATTTCTCCAAAATGCAAATGTAACTTGAATTCTATGATTTCCTGAGGGAGCACTTTGTTGCAGACAAGGTGGAAGTGTGTTTGACAGTTGAAGTCACACCATTTTGATTTTTACATCAAGATAGTTAAACATTATCTTGACAGGTTTATTCTAATTTGGTAAAGGCTATAATTTTATGGGATAGAAACTGTTTCCTTGCAGTCATGATTCCTTCTGTTTCTCTTGCATTTCCTTCTAATTGGCAGATTGATGGACTCCCAAGAATGGACTCTCAAAAAACATTTGCAAAGGAAGAAAGACAAATCAGAGGGGCTTGCGGGCTTGCTTTCTTCCCTGAAAGATACTTCTAACTGTGAGGGAGAAGGACTATTTTTATGCACCGTTTACAAAAGATTTCTGGCTTATTAATAGCCGTTTTGCCATTTTAAATTCAATTTACATAAAAAGCAATACACGTGCTTATTTTTAAAGTCAAATAATACTTCAAGATTTATACAGAAAAATAGTAATCCCTTTTCTACCTAATTCTCTCTCTCAATTCTTGTTTCTCAAAGGATTTCCTTTTAATCTTGTTAGCTGTGTCTCCTGTTATTTCCCTGTTTATTTCTAAACTAAAATATTTTTTTCTTTCTTTTTCAGTTAAAGAGATTATCCATTTACTTTCTGCTCTGGTGGATCAGGATCCAGCGCTCACAGTTTTCTACCCATTATTCTAACATCCTCTCTTATGTATAGAATCCTTTGTTGGGTTGTTTTTCTTACTCTCTTGTTACCCTCTTTCTTGATTTGCTTTTGGTAGAGCATATGCTTTATGCTTCCTGGAAGTTTTGGTAATCTGATCTTCATCAGTATTTTAAGTCCTCTTTGTTTCCAGCAAGCAAGGTTGTATCAGTGGATCATTAGCATATCACAGGTTAATGAGTCTTTATCCAATCCTGGCACGTACTTACTTCTTCATATAATCTAGTTTCTCAGATTATTTCCTCAGCATATAGATAAGCACACCTTTCCGGATTTCAAACCACTTGGTATCCCCAGTTCTGTTTGAATGACTGCCTCTTAGTCTATGTACAGGTTCCTTGTGAGCACAATGAACTGTTCTGGAATATCCATTCTTCACAACGTTATCCATAGTTTGTCATGATCCCCATAGTCAAAAGCCTTTGCATAGTCTTAAAAGCTTGCTAGTGGCCAAAACTGTTGGTCTCTTCCCACCTGGAGCAGAGGAGAGTGAAACCAAAGAAGCACCCTATACAGGGTCGCTATGGGTCGGAACCGACTCGATGGCACATAACAACAACAACAACAATAGGATGAATGGCCCATGCAAACCACAGCCTCTTCTGGACTGAGGTCCCAAGACCTCGACAGTACCTAGCTACCATCACTCACTGTTCTAACCAGGGATGGATGGAAATGAGGCAGGCAGGTGGAAATGTGAAGATACTTTGTGGGAATAGTTAGCAATGTCTCAGAGCAATTTATGCATGACTGTTGAAGAAGAATCAAATTTGCTATGTAAACTTTTACCAAGCACAATAAAATATGTTTTAAAAAAGGCAAGTGGTGGACAGAGAGAAAATATAATGTAATGTATATAAAAGACACACACACACACACACAAAAATCAGTATCAGTAATACACAAAGAACATTTGCAAATAAGTGATAAGACCAACCAAGTAGAAAAGGCAAGAAATGGATTTTCTACGAAACCTATAGCAAGGAATATAGCCCTGGTGGCACTTTGAATTTAGCCTGGTGAGACCCACATTAGGCTTTTGATCCATAAAACTGTAAGATAATAAATGTAGGTTGTTTTAAATCAAGCTGTAGGTGAGGGGGCGGGCAATATGGATAGAAACCTCCCCGCCCCCCGAAAAAAGAAGGGTGGTGGCAACATGGTGCTGCCGTACACAAAGGCTATATCAATAAAGAAGAATGACATGTGCCACAGCCCCAGGTGAGAAAAGGCAGGTTGGGTGCATTGTGAGTTTGGTAAGGCTGAGAAATAGGAACTCCTTCATGTAGTAAGGGAGGAGTTTGAAGGGCAAGCAGGAGGCTACATCTTGCATCTGGAAGTCACAAGCAGACACTTCCACACCACATCACCCCATCCAGCCTAAAATGATCCATGAACAAGGATATTGGGTGTTGTCTTGTGGAATTAATTTAGAAGTAATAACTGATTTTAAATGGAAACTTCATGTGTGCCACTAAATTTCCTGGCCTTAGCAAGGTGATTTGAAGTAGGGAGGGAAAATGGTGGTCTGTGCACTGTGGAGAAAAGATGATTTTGAAATGACCTAACTTGCTCATTTGCACACAAGAACAAATGTATGAGAATGTATGTGCGGGCACATGCTACCACAGAATCTGACAGCCAACAAACATATGAAGAAATGTTCATGACCATTTTCCATTAGAGAGATGCAAATCAAAACAGCAATAAGACACTATCTCATCCCAGCATTAATAACAAAGACTGAAAAAAATACACCCACAAATGCTGGCATGGGTGTGGAGAGACTGGGACCCTCTAACATTGTGGTGGGACTATAAAATGGCTCAACCACTCTGGAAACCAGTATGGAGCTTTCTCAGAAAGTTGGAAATAGAAATACTATATGACCCAGAAATCACTCTACTTAATAGAGAAATACGAGCTAGGACATGAGTATATATATAAAAGCACACCAATGTTTATTTCAGCACTATTCACAATAACAAAAAGAGGGAGACAGCCTAAATGGCCATCAGTGGAGAAATGAATAAACAAACTTTGGTAAATGCACACAATGGAATACTATGCAACGCTGAAGAATAAAGATGAAGCTGCTAACCACCTCATAACCTGGAAGAATCTGGAGGACAGTATGTTGAGTGCAAATATTATATGAGAACATCATTGTAAAAACTTAAAGAAAAGTTTTTCATACTAAAAGAATGATTATTTGATGGATACCAGAGGTAAGAGGGAAGGGAGAGTAATTCACTGGCTACAGGGTAGACACAGAATAGCTCGGGTGATGTGGAGAGTAATATACAAGAAGGGGAAGTGCCATCTATAAATGAGGGAGGGTGACAGAGGAATGACAAAGATAGGTGAAGACACAGGGAGGTGAGGATACAGGGAAATAGTGACACATACACAACCTTGGAGGAGTCCTGGTGTGGCATCAGAGGCTAAGCACTCGCCCTCAAAGTCAATTTGAACCTCAAGGTCAGTGGTTCAAACTCACCAGCTGCTCTTTGGAAACCCTATACAGGGTCGCTGAGTCAGAACCAACTCGATAGTACTTGACAACAACAGCACAACCTTGGAACAACAGTGTTCTGTGCGTAGATACATGGACTGAGATATAGGCTGAATGGGTTAGGTAGAAAGAGTGGGATATATACATACACACACACACACACATATATGAGGATATTTGTACATGGGTATTTACCTTTCCTGCAAACACAACTGTGAATGTGGTAAAATGATGAAAACTTCTTGGATATTATCAAATATCTTAAGGCAATGAGTTGCTAGGCGTGGGGCTAAGGCCATAGTCTCAGGAGACACCAGGGTCAACTGACATAACATAGTCCACAAAGACTATGTCCTGCATCCTACTTGGTGAGTAGCGTCTGGGATCTTAACAGCTCATGAGCAGCCATGTAAGTTGCAGCTATTGGTCTCACCATATGTGGAAGAAAGAAGAGTGATAAGAATTGAAGAGGCTTGGAACCAATTTGAACATCAGAATCCAAGATTCTGAGACCAGTAGAACTAGACAGTACCTGGCTACCACGATCAACTGCTCTGAAAAGGATCACATTAGAGGGTCTCGGATGGAATGGAAGAAATGTGGAACAAAACTCAAAATTATTATAAAACAAAAAGTGGGTTTGCTGGTCAGAAAGAGCCTGGAGGAATCCAAGACTATGGTCCTTGGTCCCCCTTCAGGTCTGGAAAGGAACTCACCCTCGTGGCCCGATATTCAACCACGCAGTAGATAGACATACAGGGGGACAACAACACCGTAAGGCAAATTCACCATGGAATGGTCAATCATTCAAAATCAAATGGACAACATTTTCCTAAGGAAGGTGGTGGTATGGACATAGGAGCCACAAGGAGCAAGTGGGGTAACTGTTATTGCATGAGGGGATAGTAGTCCTCAAGATGAAACAAAGTGCATGATTTGTTCAATGTAAAGCTGATGATCTTGTCTGTAAACCTTCACTCAATCCACAATAAAAGTTTTTTAAAAGAACCCCCCAAAACAGTCCAGAATGTACATTTCAAAAAAAAGAAGGAAAGAGCCCAAACAGGCTCACTTTACATACTGGAAAAGTGAGAACCAAGGTTTGTTTGCAGGTAGCCCTCACCCATGAATTGGAGCTCTCCACAGGTCATTAACGATGTTAACTGTTAGCAGCTTGGGAATCATTAAAAACACATGTTTGAGGCCTTTCACTGTCGAATGCACTAGAAATGCCTTTTGCTGAGCACTGAATTTACCTTTGCAGAGCTCAGCACCTTTCCTTTGTGTGTACCAGCTGGCCCTAGGCTCGCTGGGGAAGCCCTCCGTTCTGCTTTTACCCAGGGCATCCTTTAGAAGCCCAGCATCTCCCTGTCCCTGATTTGATTTTGTCTACCTGGGGGCATGACTGGGCATGACAGGTGGCTGATTTTTCTCCTGGGCCAATCCTCCTTCCTCTCCATCAGCACTGCCCAGTTGAACTCTTGCCACCTCTCACTCTGACTAATGCAATGCACTTCTAACTTCCGCCTTGCTCCCCTCCAGCCTATTCTCCACACTGCCACCAGGACCAGTGATCTAAAGCAGAGATCTGATTGGATCACTTGTTGCTAAGTCTATTTCGACTCATAGCAACTCTTTAGGATACGTTATGATTGTGCCATAGAGTTTTCAAGCCTGTAATCTTTATGGGAGTCCTGGTGTGGCACCGTGGGTTAATGTGCTAGACTGCAAGGTCATTTGAACAGCAAAGCCAGCAGTTCACCTCACTAGTTGCTCCTTGGAAATCCTATACAGGGTGGCTATAAGTTGGAACCGACTCGACGGCACTTAACAACACCAAAAATCTTTATGAAAGTAAATTTCCACATCTTTCTTCTGCAGAGCACCTGGTGGGTTTGAGCTGCCTACCTTTTAGTTAGTAGCTAAGCCCTTACCCACTGTGCTGCCAAGTTGGTTTCTGCTCGTAGGGTTTTCTAGACAGTCATCTTTATTACAGATGGAGCCTTGGTTGCACTGGGCTCCTAACCAAAAGGTTGACAGTTAAAACCCACCCAGCACCTCTGCAAGAGACAAATCTGGAGATATGGGTCCATGAAGACTGTTGTTGCTGTTGTTAACAGCTGTCGAGTGGGTTCTGGCTCTATGTTGTTGTTGTTAGGTACCATTGAGTCGGTACTGACTCAGAGCGACCCTATGCACAACAGAACGAAACACTGCCCGATCCTGGGGCAACCTCACAATTGTTGCCACGCTTGAGCCCATTGATGCTGCCACTTAGCCAATCCATCTCGCTGGGGGTCTTCCTCTTTTTCTCGGACCCTCCACCTTACCAAATGTGATATCCTTCTCTAGCGACTGGTCCCTCCTGACAATATGTCTGAAGTATGAGAGATGAAGTTTGGTCATCCTGGCCACCAAGAAGCACTCTGGCTGCACTTCTTCCAACATGAATCGTGTTGGTTCTTTTGGCAGCCCACAGCACTTTCAATATTCTCCTCCAACGGCATAACTCAAAACCATCAATTCTTCTACGGTCTTCCTTATTCACTGTCTAGCTTTCACATGAATATGTGGTTATTGAAAATACCATGGCTTGGGTCGGGAACACCTTAGTCCTCAAGCTGACATCTTTGTGCAGGGTAGAGGCAAAATATATTCAGGGAAAGATTTTCAGAGAATACAAGAGATGGAAGTTGTTGCCAGCGTATAGCTAGAATCCTTTCTGAGACTTTTTTAAATCTACAAGAGCAGAGAGACTCATCTTAGTGTAGCAAACCCTACGGGGCAGGTTGACTCTGTTGCATTCTGTCACTATGAGCAGTGATGTCATTAGTTGTACGGTCTGAACCGGAAACACTGTCAGAGAGGCTGACACCAAAATGCCAATCTATAAAAGTTTTATGCAGTGTCTCAGTAGATATTATTTAAAAAAAAATAAAAATATACCTGTAGTTACTTATAACAACAAAAACATTTTTTTATAAGTCATCATTCTTCTTTCAAGCTCCTTTTCTTGTATATTGTCTTTCTGGTCACTAGTTAACATATGGTGTGGCACTGTAGGATAAGCACTGAACTGCAAAGTCAATTTGACCTGCAAGGTCAGTGGTTCAACTCCACCAACCACGCCTCAGAAATCCTAGGCAGGTTTTCTGTAATCTTTCCAAAGAGTCAGAACCGACTTGACAGCACCAAACAGCAATAACCCAATTACTGTCCCTTCCCTCCCGGTCCTGGCAACCAACAAAGAATGTTTTGTTGTTGTTGTTGTTGAAACAATATGAAGACATGCTCTTGAGTTTTCTATTTTTTTGTGTTCAAGGTCATATGCTGACTCTTTGTTCTTGAGTTTTACAATAGTGCTCTCATACAAGATTTGGCCTTTTGTTAGTAACTAATTTTACTTAGCATAATGCCCTCCAGGTTCATCCATGTTATGAGGTATTTCACAGATTTATTATTCTTCAGTGTTGCATAGCTTTCCATTGTGTGTTTATAACAATATTTGTTTATGATGGGCATTTAGGTTGTCTCCATCTTTTTGCTATTGCAAATAGTGCTGCAATGAACATCGGTGTGCAATATTCCTCCTTTTCATTGACCCTTCACTTTGCCAAGCATGATGTCCTTCTCTAGGAACTGGTCCCTCATGAGATTATGAGAGATGAAGTCTTGCCATCCTGGCTGTTAAGGAACATTTGGCAGCACTTCTACCAACACAGATTTGTTTGTTCTTCTGGCAGTCCATAATTTCTTCTGCAACACCATAACTCAAATGCATCAATTCTTCTATGGTCTTCCTTATTAATTCCCCAACTTTCACATGCATATAAGGATATTGGAACTATCATGGCTTGGATCAGGCCCACTTAGTCCTCAAATTGATATCTTTGCTCTTGAATATGTTATAAGCTCTTGTACAATAGATTTGCATAATACAATGCGTCATTTGATTTCTTGACTGCTTCTTCCATGAGTGTTGATTGTGGATCAAAACAAAATGACATTTTTTACATCTTCATTTTCCACTTATCATAATGTTATTTATTGTTCCAGTTGTGAGGATTTTTGTTTTCTTTACATTGAGGCTTGAGTCTTTGATCTTCCTCTGTAAGTATTTTAAGTCCTCTTCACTTTGAGCAAGCAAGGTTGTATCATCTGCATATCACATGTTGTTAATGAGTCTTCCTCTAATCCTGATACCACATTCTTCTTCAGATAATCCAGCTTCTTGGATTACTTGATCACCATAAAGATTGAAAAAGTTTGGTGAAAGAACACAACCCTGGCACACATCTTTCCTGATTTTAAAACATTCAGCATCGCCTTGTTCTTTATAAAGATTGTCTCTTAGTTTATGTACAGGTTCCTCATGAGCATAATGAAGTGTTCTGGAATACCATTCTTTACAATGTTATCCATAGTTTATCATGACCCACACAGTAGAAAGCCTTTGCATAGTTAATAAACCACAAGTAACCACATTTCTGGTATTCTCTGCTTTCAGCTCAGATCCATCAGATGTCTGCAATGATATCCATCATTCCACATCCTCATTTGAATCTGGCTTGAACCTTTGGCAGTTCCTTGACAATGTACTGTTGCAGCCATTTTTAAATTATCTTCAGCTTAATTTTACTTGCATGTGATATTAATGATATTGTTCGATGATTTCTGCATTTTATTGGGTCATGTCTCTTTGAAATGGGCACAAATATGAATATCTTCCAATTAGTTGGCCAGGTAGCTGATTTCCAAATTTCTTGGCACAAATAAATGAGTGCCTCCAGAGCTTTATCAATGTGCATTCCTTTAATTCCTGGAGACTTGTTTTTTGCCAATATCTTCAGTGTAGCTTGGACTTCTTTCTTTAGTACCATTAGTTCTTGATCATTTGCTATCAAAAGAACATCAACCATTTCTTTTTGATTACAGTGACTCTGTGTATTCCTCCCATCTTCTTTTAATGCTTTCAATATTTTGCCCATAAAATCCTTCAATATTTCAAGTTGAGGCTTGAATTTTTTTCCATCAGTTCTTTTAGGTTAAGAAATGGTGAGCATGTTCTTACCTTTTGATTTTCTAACTTTGGGTCTTTGCACATTTCATTATAATACTTGACTTTGTCTTCTCAATCTGCCCTTGGGAATTTTCTGTATAGCACTTTGGCTCCTCATTTCTTCCATTTGCTTTAGCATCTCTAAGCTGGAGAGCAAGTTTCAGAGTCTCTTCTGACATCCATTGTGGTCTTTTCTTTCTTTTTTGGGTTTTTAATGATTCTTCGCTTTCTTCCTGTCTGATATTCTTAACGTCATCCCACAACTCATTTAGTATTCGGTCATTAGTTAGTGCATCAAATCTGTTCTTGAGATGGTCTCTAAATTCAGGTGGAATATGTTCAAGGTCATATTTTTGGCTGTCATGGACTTGTTTTAATTTTCTTCAGCTTCAGCCTGAATTTGCTTATGAGCAATTGAAGGTCTTATGAGCAATTCCACTGTCTGTCTGTGACCTTGTTTTGGCTGATGATACTGAGCTTTTCTACCGTCTCTAGCCACAGATGTAGTCAATTTGATTCCTATGTATTCCACCTTGTGAGATCCATGTGTATAGTTGCCTTTTATGTTGCTTTTAAAAGGTATTTGCAATGAATAAGTCACTGGTTTTGCAAAAACCAAAAATTCTATCATGGAATCTCCAGCTTTATTTCTATCACCAAGGCCATATTTTCCAGCTACTGATCCTTCCTCTTTGTTTCTAACCTTTGTATTCCAATCACCAATAATTATCAATACATCTTGATCACATGTTTGATCCATTTTAGACTGAAGACATTGTTA